GTGCAAACAAAACGGATTTAAGTAAGCTAATAATAGAATACAAAAAAAAAACTGCAATCATATGAGCAGAGCTGGTATTCATTTTCTGTTATGGTGACTGCATGCAGACCCAACAAGAAAAAAAAGGTTTTTTTGAAAAGGTGTGGAAAAATGTATGTCACGATTGATGCATTTCAACTTCTGCCTGCAACACCTGCAATATCTGATCCCAGCAACCCACATAAGGGTTATAAAACCATAAAATACCAGAAAAAGCTGCAGTAATGCATAGACATTTCCTATATAAATTAATGCATTTTTCAGAAATTTACATACGCCTTTTATGCTAAATAATCACAGGATTTCCATAGATGATAAGATGAAGGTTATGAAGATGACTTACATAAATTCAGAGAAATTAAACATAAGAGCATTGTTGTCTAAGCTGAGGCAGCGACCAGTCAAACTGTCAGTGATGTGGCCCACAAACCTTGCACGTTACATAACTGTGCCATAATGCAGAGAGCTATACTAACCCTGAGGTGGAGAGGGAACCACACAACCAAACTTCCAGTGAATGGTAGTGATTTTCCAGCTGAGGGTATATAGTGTCTTATCACGTGAAGTGCTATTTGATCATTCATAGAGCGTTTATGGCTATTCAGCGAGCGTTTTATCACATGAAGTGAGGGACAAAAACATTTCTGTTATTGTGGTCTAAAGTAATTAAGTACATTTGTTCAAACACAAGCCTATTTCAATTTCATGCTACTTTATATTTGTAGAAATGCTGTATGTTATATCCAAATAAATGTATATATGACAGCTTTAGTTACTTTCCAGAATTAGAGTTTCAGATTCTACATACTACATATGATGTAATGTTATTAGAGCTGAAACAATAAGTCAAGAAATCAGTTTGTGAAATGAACAAAAAACAAACAGCAACTATTTTGATAATATTTCAGTTATTTTCCAAGCAAAACATGAAAAAATGGCAACCTTTCTGTTTCCAGCTTCTCACATGTGAGTGTTTGAAGCTTCTTTATTTTTAACTTAACTGAATGTTTTGGGGTTTTGGACTTTTGGTTGGACTTTTTGGTCAAACAGTAACAAATGATAAAATAGGGAAGTAATCTGGAAAATACAAAAAACTGATGTTTATAATTCCCAACAGTCCAAGTGGACATTTTCAGATTTCTCCAACCAACAGTCCAAAACCCAAAGATATTAAGTTTATTATTGTATATTACAAATAAGCCCATCCTCACATTTGAGAAACTGAAACCAACAAATATTTGGAATGTTGCTTAAAATATGACAAACAGTAATTGTCAAAATTGATTCATTTTTTTGTCAGACAGCTAATAAATTAATTGACTGATCGCTGCAGCTGTACTACTGTTCTCATAAACACCAGTCCAAATAGATTTATTTATATGTCAGGTTAACATGTGACAGTTATGCTTAATTTAAAGGAAGTGAGATGTCACAGGGGAAAGAGGAAGTTAAGTGCATAGGCCCAAAAACAGAAACCAGCTGGTGCAGAGTGACCCAGTGGCCGATCATGTCATGCAGTGGAAGAGTCCTTAAGCAAACACAGAGCTCAGCCTCAGCTCTGTTTAGAAACACACCAGATCCAATTGCACGACATGATACCTCAGGCTTTGTGTCAGGCTTTGCCCCATTTCATGTTGCCTTTCTCTGAATTATTCAAGTGTATCATGTTACCATTTCTGGTAACAAAGGATAAACATCAGCAGTTCTCTTGAATAGTGCTTTTTTTCTCTTTCATGTACAATGTTTCTGTTGTGATGGAACAGATAGCCAGGTGCTTGTGAGGTAAAACACAGCTGGCTGAAGTGGGATTTCCCCTTCTAAAAATGTGATGTTTTTCAGAGTGAGAAGAGTGACGCATAGATTGCGAAGGGTGAAGGAAACATCACAATCTCATCAACCAGAATAGAATCTGTCATGGTCACCAGGCTACAACCAAAGATTATTTTAATTAATTTTCAATTAATCAAAATGTGAAAAAAGCCCATCACCATTTCTTTGACTCCAACCAAATCCAAGCCATCAGTTCAAAAACAATATACAGTATGTTCAACTTAAAGCATTTAGAGACAGGAAACCAGTGGCTGATGCTGAGCAGTTGGGCAGCACTTTGCTTGCTGACAAGCAGTCATGTGAGTCACCTTCCTGACTCTAATGGGGTGCCATCGATCATAACTCCTCAGCCTCGGCGTGGTACCACTTGACACATGAGTGTAGGCTACAACTTGGGTTGGTGCCTGAGTTTCATTTTGAAATTAGCCCCCAGTTTGTTCCTCTCTTGTCAAAATGAAACCAGAACTTGAGTTTGAAAAGAAAGAAAACCTCATTCAAAATCACACTGACCTTTCAAATAGCACAAATAATTACAAAACCAACCATGGTGTGGAGCCATATTGGTATGTTAGCAAGTGTCTAGATAAGAAGGTTAATTTGTTTTTGTTTTTTTAAAGATCTAATATGTGTTCTTTATTTACAGTAACAATTCTGTTTTCACAAGCACATTTTCCTCTTAACACCAAAACATTTGCAAGTTAAACGTCGGGGCTCAACAGAAGGAGTGAGTCCCTGGGTGAGTGGAGAGGTTGTGGTTAGCTCAACAGGATAGAGTGGGATAGGCAGTGGAGACATTTTAGAAAGCAGAGATTACAGCTAAAAGGTTGGAAATACAGCATTAGAAGACAGTGTTGGTGAATCTTATAGATTTAGACAAAACCAAGCTCTGACAACCTAAGTATGCTGGTAGATTTTCCTGGGAGCTGCAGTTCTTTGTGTACTGACAAATTAATTATCTGTCTGTTGCACAATACAAATGATTTTAGCCTGTTTCTCAGGTTGTGATTGTAGACCAGATTGCCAGGAATGATTATGTGCTTTTGTAAAACACAAGCAAAATATGCCTTATTTTGCCAAAAAATACAAAATTCTGGAGGAGACATCAATTTATACCATTGATATTTTCCAACACAACTTGTAAAACAGGTTAAAAATCTTGATAACGCTTTATTTTAACAACCCCTAAAGCATATATAAGAAGTACTGAAAAGTAAAGTAGTTCTAAGCAGATATGTGTTTATTAATGTATTTGTCAACAAGTATAACTCCCACTGTGGGCACCCACACATGGAGGCAGGTATTAACAGATCATGAAGAAGAAGAAGCTTTATTTTAGTTTATTTATTAAATTTACTGGCAACTGGGGGGGGGGGACACTTCGACATGTAGACTGCAGGCACTGTGATTCAAACCTTCAACCACCGCACCACTGTCGACAATATAGTAAAATACAGGCGTAATAAAATAAAATCTATCAATGTAGGAGAAGTTATAATTGTTGACACATATTGTACATTCATTAGCACATAATGCCCTTATATCTGGTCATAACCATGTATTACAACTTTGTATAATGCTTTTAAATGGTAAATAGTGGATTGCCAGTACCTGAGGAACAACCGTAAGGTGTAAAAAAAAAATAACTTTATGGATTTTTTAAAAGCTGCCTGGGTATTTATTTTAATGCAGATTAAATGCTTTACTCTGACTCATGTAGTGGTAAGAGGCTCGACCTGGGGCTAATCAAAAGCTAGACTTCTGCCTGCTCACTGCATGTCTCCAGTGTACTGGGTAGGAGGCAGCAGACGGTTTATGAATGACTCATACAAGCAAACAGGTCCTCGGTAAGCAACTGCAGGGCTGGCAGGGAGGCTGCTGGCTAATGAGGATGGAGGATGTCTAATTTTAACGTGGGTCTTGTGGACAGACTCTGATCATGGCCTTTTGAGTTTCACACCCCATAGTCATTCCAATCTCATCAGGTCTCGCTTCAGAACAGATCTCTGCTAGAATCTCGTCTCCCTCCAGTTCCCCTTTTCGATTTGTGCGTACCATCTGCACCACTCTTTCATATACTCTCGGCACTTAGCGTTAATACTAATGCAGAGGACAGACTGGAGCTGGTGGTCCAGTCTGACGGCGTCGCAGTGCAGCCTCAGACCCAAGCGAGTGGGAGCAGATTTTAGTTCATGAAACCAGAGTTGGAATTACACTGGTTTTGTTTTCCCTCCTAAATTCCCAGGCTAGAGATGAGATGTGTTTTTATTTTTTCTGTTTTCAGTGGGGGATTACAAGGTTGCTTATGTGCCTGTTTTATCAGATAAAAAAGAGAAAAGACATGTTTGCTCTCTTATATGATGACTCAAACACACTGATGGCAAATTAATCTATAATATAGTACTTTAATTTGCTGCCGAGTAAGTTGGGTTGATCCTGCCTATTTAGAACCACAGAGGCTCTATTAATTATATTAATGTGACTTCTATTCCTGCTCAAATTACTATCATGATGAGAGGAAGCATTTTCTCATTATGTATTCTGGTAGTGTTTGCTCAGTCAGGAGCCATTGCAGTGCTGAATGTGAATCTATACAGCAAATCTCCTGTCCGTTGCTAAAGACGCACCATATAAGAGGATTGTAAAATCATTTTCATTCAGAGCACCAGACACTCATTCACTAACTACAGCTCCCATAATGGCCAAACATCACGAGTCAGTGGACAGTGGTGATTTCCGTTATTGTATGCATTTCCCATTTCTCTGGTCATGGAATGTACTGTGATAATATGAAACAAATATGAAGAAGCAAACAACATCATGGAAAAGCACTTAGCACGCTGTGGCCTGTGAAGTATACCTAGTGATTGAATGCCACTGTTCCCCTAGAAGCACATAGGCTAGCCTGAATGAAGCTAAGTAACTGTAAGAGCCACATCCAAGTTACTAATTTGATCCAGTATGTGGTCTTTTGAGTGTTGATAGCCTGGCAAATCCAGCGTAAACCTCACGGTCAGTTATCACTATGAGATATTCATCTGGAAAACATCCACTCAGAATCAGTATAGTGTGGCAAACCAACCAATTACTGAAGTGTAGGAGCTAATTAAGATGATAACGACAGCAGGCAGCATTGCATTATGAATTTGAATTGGGTGCCAATTTTTAACTACTAAAACAACATGTGGATGATCAAATATGGGGCATGTTTGCGTGACTGCATGGTATGATCTCGATTTAATTAAATTAAGGACTGATCTTTGTTGACAATTTAGAAGGAATTTCCTAAAAAGCCAAACTGTTTTCTGTTAGATGAGAAGATTAATATTACTCGTGTGTCTGTACAAGTTTGAGGCTACAAACAGCAGCTGGCTAGCTGATGAAATGTGTTAGTTGGCTGGGTTTTAAAGAAAAGGTAGGTGTTTCACTGTCCTTCCAGTCTTTATTCTAAGCTAAGATAACCATCTCCTAGCTGTAGCTTCATATCTAGTTGTAAAACGATTCAATTAACATACAGAAAAATAGAAATATGGAAAATTTGCTTTTAAATTTCTCATTCTTAGCTTAGCCTTTCCAACTACGCTCATGAGACCACAACTGTTTTTCAAGGTATCAGTGAACACCAGAATCATGCAATCCTTTTCAGTTCTGGTTACAGTGTCAAGGCACGGGAGTAGCTTTAATGCTCTCAAGGGACAAATAAATGAGGAGCAGGGGAGCTGGAGGGAGGAGGTGAGAAGCTCTGGGTTGGACATAACACAATTAACCAGACAATGACAGAAGAGTGCTAAAGAACCAAATCATCTAAGTAGAAGCCATGATGAAGCAGTCAGACACTGCAAGTAAAAATCACATATTGGAAACCACAAAAGAGAGACAGTGATTTGATGATAGAGCAGGTGGATGTTAACATAAAGAAGAGGAAAAGTTGCATGTCTCAAGGTGCATCCTCACTGCTGTGCTGCTGAGAGGCTGCACATTGTTCCCAAGACAATCTCATATACGACAGGCAGTCAGTTAAAGGAGCACCTACCTATGAAGGATTTCTTGCCGGTCTTCATATCCTCCTAAGTGTGTGATTATATCTTACTGCTGGGCAAAGAGTCTCTGAATGAGCGTCTGTCGGTCCGCAGAGCATTCAGGTGATACAGGGCATGAGGAAGATGTATCCCTCCTGTAAATATGCCTCCCTTTTCCTTTTCCTTCGCCCTCCCTGCAGCTCTGCTCAGAAAAGTCTTTCCCTGCTGCACTTCCCTCTTCTCTCTGCCTCTGCTGTTTCTTCCTTTCACCGTGCCTGCACTGAGACCAAATAGCTGAAACCAAAGATCTGTGACGCACCTGCTTCTCCTCCTCTATACACCCCACCCCACTACTGCTGCCTCCACCCTCATGTGTTCTTTTATCTACCTGGAGAGCGTCAAACAAAACAAAAGCAAGTGTCAGGTTACGGCTCCCGTGAGTGTGGGAGTCCCGCTGGAGGGGAAGCCAGTCTCCATGACACGAGAACCACCTGAGGATCACAGAAAACAGGCAGAGGGGTTTTTAAACTTGCTTTTAATTGGCCACAACTGCACAAGCGATCTGTTCACTGTCATCAACCTCCTCTGCCTCTGAGGTGTTTTGGGGTAAAATCATCACGGTTAGTCACGTTGACAGCTACATTAGCTTTATGCCTCAGGCTGCAGGCCATCAAATACAGTGAGTGCTGAATGATGAAGGTTTGTGAGGGTTGGCATACAGGAGCAGCAACAGTGCCATTTATGAGTAATGTTGTTTATTAAACACAGAGGTGCTGTGTTGAATTATGATTTGGACAAGTGAACTGCAATCACCTGTATGTAGATGATAAGATGTGACACTTGCAGTCTAACAAAAGCTGACAAAAAAGCAATGAAATAATGGACAAATATTGTTTAATATTGTCTTCATTTGCACTGATCCAGCTGTTCTCTGTTACAGACAAATTACACTGGTAAACTGTTAAATAGAGTAAAATATAATGAGGAGAAATTGGATGAAAGCCACATTAGTTGCTGGGCCATCATGAGCCTCCACTGCAGCTTCCATTTTTCTTTCTATTGATTCTACAGGTCTATTAAACTCTACTGAAAGGATTAAACAATGTTTTTCCAAGAGATGTTCTCTCAGTTTTGATGGTAGCGATAGCTGTCTAATGTAGGTGTTCATTTCTGTTGTGATATCTGGTGACTGTAAAGGTTACAGCCCATGAGTCACGTCATTTTCTTACTCATCCAACCAAGTGACCCTTGTCTGCATTTGTCTCCCCACTCATTTATTCATGTATCTCATTTAATATGTCACCTAGCTCTATAAGGCCCTTAAATCACTGTAAGCGGGGGACAGAGAGCTCTGGTTAGTCTTTGATATCAGCTCACACCAGAGCTGTACTAAATAAATACACCATCATGGGGCCGCACTGAGTTTTTGTCATTAGGCCTGTGAATTAAGACTTGCTCTCTGTTACATTAACATATCTTCTAAATCAAAATACTCAGATGCCATTTGATTTTAATGGTAAAGCATTCAGAGACCGGAAAGACTTTCAGGTTGAATGGCAGCTTATGAAGACATTATTTTATTCTGTTCATTTGGCAGAGATTCTTTTCTTCACAGGACATTTATCTTGTAAAAACATGGTCAGTGCTACAAGACACACTAATTGTCTCTGACATACCCTAAACATAACAATGACACATAAGCTTCAATGTTTTTTTTTTCAGGTTCTGACATAAAATCCTCTTAGATGTTAAAATATGCTTTGTCATTTACAGCCTGGGAGTGTGATGAGAAAAAAAAACCTGATAAATTGAAGGGTCTCCGCGTAATTAAGATTTTCTCTGAGGCAACATGTATATTTACAGTATGAGACATTTTACAGCCTGCTCACTTGGCCTTTATTGAGCCCCCAGCTGCACAGCAAACAGAAACAAGTATTATATAAATTTCAAAAGCACAAGAAGTCAACGTTCATAAATTCACTCACTGTAAAACAGAGTCAACTTCCTCTCTGAAGTTCTCACTGAGTCATCTGCAGCTCTGTGTTGGAATAAAGCGACTTTGCCAACAAATATATTTTTTCAGCCCTGCTCATTACCTTGAACAGCACTGCATGACACAGTTCACAGGGAAAGTAAAAATAAATACTGATTGATACCGTGCACAGTAACTTGAGAAAAGACAGCAGTGATGTTTTCACGATGAGGCCAAAGCACAGGAATAATCTCTGACACGCTATTGACTGGACAGATTTACATGTAATTTAAATGAGGGCCAAGTGTGAGCTGGGGAAGTGTAAGAGGGATATGAGTTAGCCTGAGGAGTGACGCAGAAACAGGCCGATATGTTGATTCAGGCGTGTGATTGTTTGTCACCAAACATCTTCGGTCACTGTTGAGGAGGGAAACAATAAACCGGTGTCTTTCTTACTTACTGGATGTTTCCTGCCATGCATAAACACAACAATCTAAGTGTTTTTTTGTTGTTGAAATCAAATAAACGTCACCCCACTTAACTGCAAATTAAAGACTTAAAGGTAAAATTAAAGCAACAGTTGCCATGTTTAGATTAGCTTATCCCAGAGAAACAGCTAGCTTGCACAAAAGTTAAAAAATCCACCTATTAGCACCTTTAAAACAACACATCACATGTTGTTTAATATGTTTTACTTATTTTAATATGAGGTTGTATTTCATGTCTGTGTTCATTTCATATCTTTTTATGTCTGTTTGGCATCTTTTTTTTACCTATTTTTGTGTCTATTTGCTGTCATATGACTTTGCAACAAGGAAAGTTAATAGTTACTTCACACAACAGCCACCTGATCTCTTGGGCCCTCGGGCCCCTGGGCCTGGTAGCCCAGTTTGATAATCCATCCATGCCCCTGGTAGAGTGATTGTTGCCTCGCTTTTCAAAATAGTTGTGCCATGTTTTAAATTGTACTCAAGTTTCAAATAAAGTGAGAAGTTTCCATTTAGGAGAAGCAGTGCTTGTTTTTGTAATCCAAAGAATGACCTGTGAGACACCAGAGGAGGTGAGGGATTGAGATCACTCTGTCTGTACAGTAGGTCACCCTTGTGTTGTATACATGCGAACGGTTGATTCGCTGTGGTGACCCCCCATGGGAACAGCCAAAAGTAGTAGTGTGTGTGTGTGTGTGTGTGCCAACTCAACTCTTTCACTGTAAAAGTTAAGGAAGGCTGGTTCCCATGAAAATCCAATCTAATGTGAGATGTGTCTTCCTGCAGTGCTGGAGTCGGTGAAGAACCTTAGAAAGCAGAATTTGTAAACGTTTAGGTATGTCAAAGAGAAACCTGATGTCACTTTCTGTTTAACTAGCTGAGAGGGGATTAAAGGGGATGCTCTAGCTTATCATTCGCTGACATATACAGTAAATAGAAACAGGCCAGTCTACTTTAGGCTGCCTAACAACCATGTGATCCTAAAGGTGAAATGTTGAGTCTAATCTACAGTAGGTCAAGCTCATCATCAGTGAGCCCTGGGTGTCCACGACACTGTCGCCGGTTCACTGTCTGTCTTTCTTAGACCACTGTTAATAGGTATTAACTACTACAGACTAGTAAAGTTCAGTGGTGGAAAGTTACTTAGTACATGTACTTTAGTACTTAAGTGTGTGTGCAGTTCATTTGCTGTTTTATAGCACAAGAGTATTCTGATCATGGATGTATT